CCAGGAAGACAACATAAAGGCAGCCCAAGGAAGGAGGTAGCCAAGCCCAGCAGGCTGTGAGAGAGGGGGCTCTGAGGCCCAATTCCCTCCCCCTCAGAGGAGCATGGGTCCAAAAGGGACAGCTGTCGGCTGTGGGTTACACAGCAGGCTAGGGGCCAACACTGGCCCCCAGTCTCCCGAATCCCCCCATCCTACCCAACCTCTAGACTCAAAGCCAGGAACTGAGCCCGTCTTTCCTGAGTTGGCTCAGATCAGAAACGGGCTCACCCCTGCTCCCGCCCTGATGCTGTAGGCCCCAGGCCCAGCCCTCCCCTCCTCCTGCACCTTCCCTGAGCCCAGGGAAGCACCTGTTCCCACGCAAGCCCAAACTGCCCCCAACCAACCACACCCCAGCCCTCGGGGCACTGCCCTGCCTGACACTGCTCTGCCCAGTGCACTGGTTGAGCACGGGCCGGAACATCTGTTTGGTATCTGTCTTCCTGGCTGGACTGTGGTGACTCAAGGTCATCGGTGAAGTCCATGGGTACCCTCTGCTTCCCAGGCTCAGGGTAGGTGCTCAAACCGTACCTGCTGAAAGAAGAGGTAAATATGAGTGGCTAGGAAGAAAGGAGGAAGAGGAAAGAAGGATAGATGAGTGGGTAGATGAAATGGGTGGGTGGGTGGATGGATGGATAATGGATGATGGGTGGATAGATGGATGGATGATGGGTAGATAGATGGATGCATAGATGATAGATAATAAGTGGATAGATAGATGATAGATGGGTGGGTAATGGGTAGATGGCTGAATGAGTAATGGGTAAATGAATGGATGGGTAATGGGTGGATGGATGAGTAATGAATGGATGGAGGCATGCATGCCTGGATAGATAAATGAATGGATGGATGATAGGTAGATCTATGCATGTATGCATAGATGATAGATAATGGGTGGATAGATGGATGGGTGGATGGATGGATGAATGGATGGGTAATGGGTGGATGGATGGGTAAAGGGTGGATGGATGGATGGATAGGTGAATGGGTAATGGGTGGATGGGCAGATGGATGGATGAATGGATAGATGAGTAATGGGTGGATGGGTGGATGGATGGGTAATGGATGGATGGATGAATGGATAGATGGGTAATGGGTGGATGGGTGGATGGATGGATAATTGGTAGATGGATGGACAGATGGTCAGCCTTGGTTTCCAGGCAACCCTTGGAGGGACACAGGTATCTCCAAAGAGGTCCTTGGACTTTCAAGAGGAATGAGGACCAGAGGGCCGAGCAGGACAGAGCACTATGCAGCAGGAATTTGAGGGACCGAGCCTGGAGCAGATGGCCTGTGAACACCCAGTGCTGAACAACGATTGAACAAACTCAGCAGCTGCTGCGTGGGCACCCGGTGCCCAGCAGCCCCGCCCGCAGCTGTGGAGATGCTGTGTCAGGGACTGGGGAAAAACCCAGCTGGACAGAAATTCCATTTCTTCCACTTCAGCACATGGAAATGAAGATTAGTCAGAGCAAGCACGCTCTGGGCTGTGTGCATGACATACCATTTGTGGTGCACGAGGCGATCACACACACACACACACGAGCACTATGTGATTAGCAGTCAGCAATGAAGGGAAGCCATCCTGGCAGGGACACAGAGCACCCTCCCATGTCCCACAGTTGCTCCCCTGCTGCCCCACAGAGGTCATTTGCTTCCTCCACACGTCTGGTCCCCTCTTCTCTCCCTGACTCCACATCCTGCACCCCAGACCTGGCTCCACACCCTCCATCCCCCTGGGCTCAGAAGCCAGCTGCGCTGAAGCCATGTGGCTCAGCCCCGAGAACCCCTGACTGGAGTCCTGGAACCCCCTCTTACCCTGGCGCTCCCCTGCGCAGCCCCACCCATAATGCTCTCCCCATGTGTCTCCAGGAGTCTCTGCCTCTCCCCCTGCCCCACAGGCACCACGTGGCAGCTCCTGGCTGGAGGAGGGGACCTGCAGGTGGACCTGGGCAGGAGGTCGGGGTGCTATGGGGTTTCCTCCCCTGGCCAAGGACTGCCCCCCAAAAAACTCAGAGAAGTCATTCATCAAACAGAGAAGCTCCAAGTGAAGACTATGGTGTGCGTGTTCCATGAAGACACAGAAATGCTGGCTGGGTCTACCACGAGTGCCCGGGCTGAGGCTCATGCGGGGGTCAGCGGCCAGCCGCAGGGAGCCTGGGCGATGGGCTGGGCAGGGCTCACAGCACACAGAGGGGCATACCTGGGCTGGGAACACCAGAGCTTCTCGCTTACCCCAATAATACTTTGTGGTTTTGTTTTTCTTTTTTGTCAGTCGTGGGGCTTGAACGCTGGGCCTGGGCGCTGTCCCTCAGCTCTTCAGCTCAAGGCTAGCGCTCAACCACTTGAGCCACAGCACCACTTCCAGTTTTCTGGTGGTTTATTGGAGATAAGAGTCTCACAGACTTCCCTGCCCAGGCTGGCAGGGATCTCAGCCTCCTGGAGTAGCTAGGATGACAGGCGTGAGCCACCAGCAGCAGGCACACTTTGTGTTTTCTGCGGGACAATCAGTGCTGATTTCCTTGAATTTTGAAAACAGTAGCCCCATCTAGTCTTGTGTCCCTCAATGGGGAAAGAGAGAAGGGGTGTGTGTGTGTGTGTGCACGCACGTGTGCATGTGTGCATACACGTGTGTGTGCCAGTCCTGGGGCTTGAATTCAGGACCTGGGTGCTGTCTCTTAGCTTTTTCATTCAAGGCTGGCACCCTACCACTTGAGCCACAGCACCATTTCTAGCTTTTTGGTAGTTAATTGAAGATGAGTCTTGTAGACTTCCCAGCCCAGGCTGACTTCAAACCTTTATCCTCCTGAGTGGCTAGGATGACAGGCGTGAGCCACCGGCGCCCCACAAGGACACTTTGAAGTTGACATTACAGATAAAGACAGCGTGAGGATCTGAAAAGGCTTAATTTAATCCACCGGCATCCTCCAGCCAATTAAGTGACTAAGTGTCTCTGGCAGGCAGAGCCAGGACAGGAGGCTCCCTGGGGAACCCCGGCTGCTCTCATCCTGCTGGAGCAGGGCTGACGGGCGGCCTGGGTCCAGCTGACCCCACACCTGGCCGCCCCCGTCCTTCCCCTCTGAGCCATTTCCTCTGACTCCCCGGAGCCCCGCGGCGCGTGTGGCCCGGGGCTGGTGTTCTTTGTGGGCGAGGAGAGCACGTAGGCTTTCCTTACAGCCTTAGATCGAATCTCCGCAGGACCGGGAAGGTGGGCGGAAGACGAGGACAGAAAGCAGCGGCCTGGCTCTCCCAGAGGACACAGAATCCTTTAATCACGCAGGACAAGCAGGGCAGGGCACAGTCACCCGGGGTGCTTGTGTAGCACCCGCTTTCCTGGCGCACGTGGGCTCTGATCCCCTCGTCTGGCCGTGCGGTTCCCTTGGCTGTGAGCACCAGAGACCCCCTCCCCCCATGTCACCTCTACCCCTCTGCCAAAGCACCAAGGGGGTAGAGGCCACCTCGCTGCAGAGAAGGTGGGGCACCTGGGTGGGGAGAAGGGCTGGGGGAGTCACACACCCTGTGTTCTGGCCCCCCCAGGACTGTCTTGAAAGTGTGGCTCAGAGGAGGCCCCTAGCTGACCTGAATGTTGCTGGCTTCAGTCCCCAGACCTGCTGAGGGGCTCCGAAGCCTGGCCTGGGGCTGGGGAGGCTTGGGGGCGGGAGCTGTACCCCCCCTGCCTTAGCACCTACACAAAGCCCAGACACAAGAGGTCGGGGGAGGCAGGCAGCATCTGGGACGGACGTCAGCGCCTGGCACGGGCTGGAAACCCTGGAGAAACAGGCTCAGACCCGCGGATGAGGTCCACCCTGAGAGGAGCGGGGACGGGCCTCGGGGGGCACCTGCCAGCTGCGTGGTGAGCTAAGACTGGGTTCCACAAGTAACTCCAACTCTCAAGTCCTCTCCAAACAGGACCCACAGTCTGGCCAAGGCCCCTCTGGGGTTTGTCTTAATGAGGGGTATTAGAGAAGAGGAATGGGGTACCATCTCCACCTTGGGGACCCTGTGTCCCTAGGGAGTAATGGGGAAGGAGGGTACCACCTGCTACCCCCCCCAACTCAGACCTCCATGAGAAGGGTTCTGCTGGCTCGGGTTCTGGTCTCAAATCTTTGGTGTGCCCACTGGTGCCTGCCCATCCCCACCCAGGCCAAACAGGGCTGAGTAGCAAGGGTGGGGCGGGGCCTGGCACCCAGTGAGCATCAGTGTTTGTTGAATGAAGACATGGACAGGGGGTGAAGCAGAGAGAGGGGAGAAGGGAGGGGAGGGGAGGAGGGAGAGGAGCAAAGACAACAGGGAGAGATGAGGAGAGAATGTGAGGATACGAGAATTCTAGACTATCCAGAGAATTCCAGGATGCTCAGAAAGTTCTAGAATGCTGTGGAAGGGCTAGAATGTGAGGGTAATTCTGGAACCCCCATTCCTCAAGTATGGTCCACAGACCAGTAGCACCACCCAGGCACAAATATAGAATCCTAGTGTCTGCTCCAGCCAACTTAGCCTCAACGGAGCACAGGTCCCTGGGCTAGAGATTTGAGAACATCCTAGAATATTCAGGCCAGAAAGTTTCTAGAAAAAAGGTGAAAAAAAGGGGGGGCTACCTGGAATTGGTGGCTCACCCCTATAAACCTAACTACTCAGGAGGTTGAGATCTGAGACTTCCAGTTCAAAGCCAACCCCAGGCAGGAAAATCTATGAGACTCTTATCTCCAATAAACCCCCAGAAAACTGGAAATGGAACTGTGGCTCAAAGTGGTCGAGCGCTAGCCTTGAGTAACCAAGCTCAGGGCCAGTGCCCAGGCCCTGAGTTCAAGGTTCATCACCAAAAGAAGGAGGAGGAGGAGGGGGAGGAAAAATGCCAAAAGAAGAGAGGGGCAGAACAGAAACGGGCTAGGGAAGACAGTGGTGTTGGGGCACCAGAGGGGGAGGCCGGCGGGCGGAGGATGGAGGGGACTGGCCCACAGTGGCGCTCAGCCGTCCTCATCCTCGGGCTTCACCAGGTGGCCGGAGAAGGTGATGTAGACGTCCACATCATCGCTGTAGATGGCGTTGTCGCGCTCGCGCTTGAACAGCCGCACCCACACGCGGTCGCCGGGCGCCAGGGCCAGCATGACGCTCTGGCTCTGCATGATGCTGCGGTCGCTGGGCTGCGCGTACAGGATGACCGCCGCCTCCTCGTTGCGCACCACGTGCACGTACGTCTCCTTGAAGTTCCAGCTGTGCACGTTGAGGCTGAAGAAGTACAGGCCTCGCAGGGGGGCCACGAAGCGGCCCGTGGCCATGTCGAAGTGGCCGTCGGGGTTCACAAAGACCGTGTCGAAGAGCAGCGGCTGGAAGCCCTCGCTGCTGTGCAGGGCCGTCCTGCGGCCCACCGAGAAGGCGGAGTAGCGGGTCTGGCACGGCCCACCCGGGCTGCCCACCTGCCCCTTGGCGCCCTTGGGGCCCTGAGCACCACGGTCTCCCCGGGGACCCTCTTTACCCAGCTTCCCTGGTGGGCCCTGCAGCCCTCGGTCTCCCTTGTCACCTGTGGGGACATGAAGGGGGAGTCGGGATCAGGACAGACACCCAAGCCTGGCTTAACGCGGCGATCCATTTACAGAGGCTCCACCGCTACCAGCCAGGCCGGAAGAGCTGGGGATTACTTAATATTTAGTTATTTATTTTTGTGGGTCGTGGGGCTTGAACTCTGGGCCTGGATGCTTGTCTCTGAGCTCTTTTGCTCAAGGCTAGTGCTCTACCACAGCACCACTTCCGGTTTCCTGGTGGTTTATTGGAGGTAAGAGTCTCATGGACTTTCCTGCCCAGTCTGCTTTGAACCATGATCCTCAGATCTCAGCCTCCTGAGTAGCTAGGATGACAGGCGTGAGCCACAGGCGCCCGGCTGGAGCTGGGGATTGTTAAGCAGCTACTGCCTACCACATACCACCTCCCCAAATGCCAGGTGATAGGGCACCTGCCCAGCAGACAGACAGATACCATCTCCAGGCTTCCAAGGTTGAGCCCTATGCCTGAGCCTCGAACCTGCTTGCGCCGCCCCCCCCGCCCCCCGCGCCCCGGCTTCCTTGGAAGGGGCGCACTCTGTGAGCTTTAGCTGGCAACTCCTCTTCTCCAAGGGCCCTGGGCACATGTCCCGCAATACCCCACACCGCCTGCACCCCATGCCCGACTCCTCAACGCCCTCCTGCCCCCTCTCATCAGCTCAGGGGGTCCACACCTGGTGCACTGCCCATCTCCCTCTGGGGGCGGCTCTGGGGCCTGCTGTCCCCGCTCCTCCTGCCTCCCTCCTGGCAACCCCTGTACCCCCAGCCACCAGCCCGGGTGGGGGAGGACCTCACCCTTCAGGATGGTGATGTTAATGTAGGGCCTGATCTCAGGCAGGACATAGGGGAGGGAGGACGGGGAGGACGGGAACACATCTGCAGCATCCACCGGGCCCTCTGGGTCGTTGGGGTCACAGCACCGTCGGCAGCCTCCAGGATGGCCAGAGGTCACCGCTGAGGTCACGGAGTCCCCAGCCATGGGCTCCTCGGTGGGGACCCCCAACACGGTAAGAGGGAGCAGGAGCACTGCCCAGAGGGGACACAGGACGGCCGTCCCCATGCTGACCTGGAGCAGGGAAGGAGAGATCCAGTTACACCTCAATGCTGCCTGGCTGCCGGTGCTGTCCCGAATGGAACCCAGGGAGCAGGGGCCCCATGGAGCAGACAAGGGGAGCCACGTGAGGGGTGAGCCCCATAGCCCCAGGATTAGTGGCAAGATGGGCTCGGACCCTAGGTCTGCTGCAAAGTCTTTTGAAGCTGAGAGAGACACAGATAGACAGAGACAGGGAGAGACAGGGAAGACAGATGGTGGGGGGGTGGGGGTGGAGGAGAGACAGACAGACAGATGGACAGACAAATAGAGACAGAGACAGAGACAGGGAGAGACAGAGAAGACATGGGCAGATAGACAGCGCACCAGTAATGGGGCTTGAGTGCAGGACCTGGGCTCTGTCCCTGAGCTCAAGGATGGCATTCTACCCCTTGAGCCACAGTTTGACTTCCAGCTTAATCAGAGATTAAGATTTTTTTTTTTTTGGGTCGGGTCGTGGGGCCTGAACTCTGGGCCTGGGCGCTGTCCCTCAGCTCTTCAGCTCAAGGCTAGCGCTCTACCACTTGAGCTACAGCACCACTTCTGGCTATTTCTGCTTAGGTGGTGCTGAGGAATCAAACCCAGGGTCTCCTGTATGCAAGGCAAGCACTCTACCACTGAGCCACCTTCCCAGCCCCAGAGAGTAAGCTTATTATTAAGAGTATCTCTGGTTAATCAGAGATAAAAGTGGATTACAGGTATGAGCCACCAGCACTCAACACCCTAGCGCAGAGGCCTGGGAAGGAGAAAGCCTCTCTGGAGAGAGGCACAAAAAGGGCAGATGAGAACCGGGGGGGGGGGCTTTGCTGGACCAGTGACCCCACAGGTCACCAAGGGGTCAGTGACCAGCCCTCCTGCCCTCTCCCCATCCACTGTCTTGTTTTCTGGACACTGCTGAGCATCAGCCCTGGGCAGCGGGAGGAACAGGGACAGCTGGATTCCACAGGCTTGCTGCCAGGAGAGGGGGCAGAGGGGATGCTTGCTCTGGTGTACGGCCACTGTGGTCAGGAAGTAATGTCAGGGTTGACGCAAAGAGCCAGGCGGGTGCTGGTTTGAGGGGATCTTTCAGAAGTTGTGCTCCATTGTAGATGATGGCGGCAGAAGGCAGAAGAAGGCGCCCCTCCGGGCAGGCAAATGAGAAACAGGGAGGTCCCCGTGAACGGAGCACTCCACAGAACCAGAGGGGTGCAGCTTGTCAAGGCTGGTATTAGCCCTGCTCACCCCTCCGTTACAAAGCCACACAGCCCAACCTATCCAGACCCAAAGGGCGGGCTCAGAGAGGCTGCCATTGGCAGGTAGTTGTGTCAATCACCCTAGACCCTCCAATCAGTTGTCAAGGTGGTAAATTGGAGCTAAGAGGCAGGACTAGGAAGTCTGGAAACTGGAAAGGATGGGTGTTGGTGAGGATCTGGTTGGCCTCGGCCACAAAGGGGTCCCAGAGCTGGGCAGGAAGTAGCCTGGACACCGCGAAGGCGACAGGCCTGGGGTGGGTGGGCAGGAAGCCCAAAGCAAGCCTTTGAGGTGGTGGCAGCCCCGGGAGAACTCGCGCCACAGAGCTATCACAGACTCAGAAACGTAGCTTCTAAACCAGGCTGGTTTCTAACACTTGTGGCATTTCTTTGTTTATTTCCTTTTCGTTCTCCTTTAACACTTAGTTCAAAAATATTTTTCTGTGGTTAATACAAAAAAAGGTAAAATAGTTATTTTCCGAAATGCCACCTACCTCAGCTGAGAGCGACAGAAGTCACTAAAGGGCACAGAGGGGCTGGGTGGTGGAGCATGCCTATAATCCCAGCACTCGAGGAAGAACAGGAGTATGAGGTCCAGGCCAGCCTGGGCTCCATAGGGAGACCTTGTGTCAAACTAAGTTAAGCAAAATAAAATCAGGGAATTCAGGAGCCCTAACTCCTCCCTCCGTGTCTGGGTGCAGAGGGAGGGGGTTTGGCCCTCACTGGTTTCCTGGTTCTGTTTACAAGGCAGTGGCCTTCGATGTGGACTTAGGCTGAGAACTGAGACAGAACTTTTGCAGGCTTTGTGACTAAGGCTGCTGGCTTTACGTCTCTGGGCTTCCTGCTCCTAGACACAGGATGCCAACAGCTGCTCCTGGCCAGGCTATGTGGGAGGCTAACACACAAAGTTCCTGACTAGCAGAAGACTATGGAGGGTCTATCCCTCCCTCTCTGCCTGGCACAGATCTCTTTCCCGGGCCTGCAGGGACAGAAGGCACAGAGCATTTCCCAGACCACAGGCATGGCGTGGGGATATTTCTGTTTCCTCTTGGCCTGGCCTGATGGGAGTCAGAAGCTCAGAGAGACAAATGGGGGCTGGGGACAGGAAGCAGGAAGCTGGCTGCTTTGCCAGGACGGAGCAGCACCCAGCCACTCCAGTCACAGGCCGCTCCCAGAGGCGGGGGCCAGGCAGGGGCCAAGGGTGGGGGGCATGCCATTGGGGTGACTGTGGGGGTCCCTGCCACCTCCACTGGGTACTGCAGGGAGTCTCTGTCTCCTGGGTGGACCGGGCTGGCAGAGTGGCAGGGGTTCTGCAGGGAGACGGAAGCCAGGAGCAGTAGACAGTGGTCAGGGAAGGGGTCAGAGGGGGAGGGTGCCCAGGAAGAGAAGAGCAGAGGAGAGGAATTCCAGCCCCTGGACCTTGCCACTCACCCTGTGTCCGGCAGCCTCCCTCGGCACAGTGGCTTATGGAGCCTGGGCCTCAGAGCGGCCTCAGGCTCCTTGGCCCATGTCTGCGATAACTCCTGGCTGGCCCAGACCCTCAGGGCTGAGCAGAGCTGGGAGGAGGGATGGAGGGGGAGAGGGAGGAGGGGCCGGCGGGCGCTGAGCTGGCTTCCCACTTCCCTCCTCCCATCCCTCCCTCCAGCGCTGCACAGATAAAGGGAGCCAGGATTTCCTCCACTTAACTCTTTGGTGCTCTAGTGGGGTCGCGCTGGATTCCGTGACTTGGAAACTTGAGCAGGAAGGGGTCTGAGGCTCCTCCACAGTATGGACTGGGAGCACTGAGCCGGGACAGTGGGAGTTGGGGGGGGGGTGCCAGGAGGTCCCCGAGGCTGCACAGGAAAAGGAAGCAACACTGGAAACGCCCCCCAGTCAGGTCCAGCAGAGCCCCGGGGCACAAAAATGGCAGACCAGGTCCTGGTGCCTTTAGCTCGGCCTGACCAATCAGTGCCTCTGATGGAAGCCTGCGGGGGGAGGGGGGGGAGGGAGGCGGGTCCTGGACCTCCAGCAACTGGACACAGAACTGTCTTCAGGGATTCCTTGCAGTGTAGACGTGGTCCTCCACATTCATAGGAGGGCGACCTGTGTGTACTGGTTTGGGCATGGCCCTGCCTCAGGTTCTTTCTGGAGGCTGCAGCTCTGTCTCCTGGCTGGCTTCCAGGGACCACAGACCCCAGGAGACAGGGACACAAAGATGGTCCTCCACCACCCTCCCACCCCACTCCCATCCGCTGCCTGGGCCTTTGGTCTCCAGCATCTCACTGTGTAGCCCTGCCTGTCCTCACCTTCCAACCTCAGCCCCCTGAGAGCGGGGATTACAGGCATACACTACCACATCTGGCTCCAGAGGATGATAATAGGCATTATTTTGGCTAGCTCCACCCAGGGACTCACAGTGGGCCACACAGTACTTGAGAGGAACCCACAGCCTATGGAATGCCAGCATTCACCAGAACTCCCAAGTTTCCCAGATGTACGCTTGGACAGGGGAGGTCCAGCAATATGAGGCATGCTGCACAGCAGCCAGGAATTTAGAAACAGTGCATCCAGAAACATAAGTCTTGCACTTTGTCATAAGCTGCAGTCAAGGAGAAAAAAAAACAAGAGCAAGAGCAGCTTTCTCCATCTGACCTTGCCTGCTGGGCCCAAGCGATCAGTGTGCTCTAAAAACTGAGAAAGAGCATGCGAGGAGCGGCGTGGGGAGCCACAGATACTGGAGACCGATACAGGAAAATGGCTCTTCTTGGCACCAAATGCTTATGTCAAAGGATAAACACCTTGGCTGGATGCATTCTTTATCTCAAGGATAAACACCAGTTTTCAAATGCGTGGCAGAATGGATGCTTCCCTTAAAAAGACGTCCAGACACGATGGTCATCCATTTATAGTGAGGGTCAGGCTTGGAGCCCCTGAGCCCCAGTGGCAAATGGGTAACACCCAGTGTGATTAGAGCAAAGATAAACGCCTGTCTGTGTGACTTTAAGCCAGGCCCTGCCTTTATCATATAAATACCCTGATGTCAGTGCTCGGTACACTGGAACCTGCCTTGCTTTTTATAACCCACTGAGGCTCCCATGGCCCTCTCCCCAGCATCCCTTATGTGAAGATTCTGTCCAGAGCACTTGTGGGGAACATCCTCACTGTCCCCCCCCCCCACAACTATCTAAATTTAAACCATTCGTTTCAGTCAGAGAAGATGGCACTCTAGCCTTCTGACCTACATGTTTGTCCTAATGTATGTATGACTGCTACTACGGACCCTAACTCAATTTGGCGTTTCTGTGACACCCTTCCTTTCTCTGACCCGGCTTGGTGGTCCACAGGGTCCCTCCGCAGCTATGATGAAAGGCTGTTCCAGTCTGCCGAGGTCTCTGCCTCCTTTGCTCTCACCTGCTCACTCTCTCCTCACACTCATGACTCAGTTTCCTAACACTGCAGCTGTCCTTCTGAGACCGCCCACACTGTTACAGAATGTACCTCTGCCTTTCTGCTCGTCTGCTTGCTTACTCAATAATGTTCTGCCAAGTTTTATTACCATTGTCACTTGTCCAGAAATTCTCATTCTGTGATGGAAGTCTAGGACCCTAAAAGTCCCAATTTTTATAGAGGGAAGCTTCACAAACCCTCTCCTGAATCTGGTGACAAAGCCAGGGGTCAAATCCACATCTGAGACTTCACGTGCTAAACACACCCCCTACACACACACAGCTGTGCAAGTGCGGAGTGCAGAGCAGCAGCCCCACCCCCCTCCTTGACCAGGGCGGTCTCTGGCCTTCAGATTCCCCATTGGTTTGGGGGACAGTTAGACCAATAGCAGGCTGGAAAGGCTCCTTAGAGATGACCTAATCGCATTCTTTATCTGGCCAGCAGGAACATTATGGCCCTCGGAGGCCAACTGTGGCACACAGCACCCTGGAGTCCAAACTGGGATGAGAGCCACTCTCTCCTGATTTCCAGCTTTGCATTGTACCCTCAAATCAATGTGGTGCTCCCAATTCTATTCTGGGGTACAGGAGCAGACTGAGGGACTATAGCTGTGGGGCATGTCCCTGTCCCTGGGGCAGCAGTCCTGGGGCGCAGAGCCAGGGCTGCAGGGGGAAAGGGCTGAGTCATCAGAGCTGGGGGCCAGGCTCTCTGCGGCCTCCGCCCTCCCCAGCCCAGAAAGCCTGGGGCTGACAGGCAGTGGGGAGAAAAGATGGATTGGGAGCAGGCTGGAGACACACGGGCTTTGTAGAGCGCTGACTGTGTGCCCAGCACCGTGCCTCTACTACCCTCCACACCCACCCAACAGCCCAGCAACTGAGATCTGGGCGGAGGGGAGATGATGCAGCCTCCAGGGCCAGGCTCCCTCTGGGTCCAGGGCAGCGTGGTGGAGGAACTCGGGGAGGGGGGACTGTTCTGCACCCCATCTCTTCCACCATGTCTGAACATGCCTATATTCGGGTGCCCTGGTGAGGGTGACTGACCTCACCGGCCAGGTGGCGCAGAGACAAAGCTCCAGCCCTGGGGCAAACTTGCCAAAGCACCCATTAGCAAAGCCCGAACTCCAAATACGAGCCTGATTCCCTATGGCCCCCCCTCCAAAGGGCCGGACTGAGGTCAGCTTGGTTCAAGGTCACCAGCCAAACCGAAGTCTGCACAAAGGAGGACGCGCGCGCCACCTGCCGGGGGGAGAGCGAGCATGCGCCCCACGTCACCGCCCCCCGCACTCAGGGGGGCTGGCAGCGACCCCCGACCCCAGCACCCCT